TTACGGTCAAATCACGCTGAAAACACCGGTTCGCGTTCGATCACCGAAGTTAAGCATCGTAGAGCCAGGTCAGTACTTAGATGGGGGACCGCTTGGGAACACCTGGTACTGTAAGCCCCCAAAGTCCAACCCTTACCTCACAGTCGGTGGGGGGTGTAAACGGTAGTGTCAGAGTTATGCTGTCCGGAACTTCGTTCCTGGTAGGGCCACCCAAGGCGGGTAGGTCTGACACACACGCCGGCTAACAAGGGCTCTGGTGAAAATCCAAGGAGCGTCTGCATCGGCAACCGGCGGCTTCTGGTCGTTCCTGTCTCTGCGTCTGTGGGAACCCCGCGGCAAGCAAGAACGTTATCCGAGTAGGCCTGGGTACCCTACTTCTGTAAGTTATCCCAAGAATCTTCTTCTCATAACAGGAAGAAGCCGGCTCCATCCGCCCAGGGTGAATGCCGCATCAGTACAGTATATATACATACGTCTATTTACATGTGCAAATACACACATAGACACACGTGCAACAATATACACGAATGTTCATCCATCTTCATACATAAATTATATATACATACATTTAATCCTTCCTTCATGCTTTCCTTTATTACATTCTCTAAGAGTATAATCTGTGTGTCTTATGTTGTTAAGATTATGGTCGCCGACGGTAACTTCTAGGTCTTCTATTGCCCTTAGGATACAATAACTACATCAAGAAAACGGGTCGTTGGCTTAATCTTTTTATTTTCGGGTAAATGCGAATACAGGCGGTTTTTATAAAATAAATATCCGAAGGGGAGCCTCGTTCCTCTTTGAATTAGGAACGCCACATCGGCTAACATTGTTTCAACAAGACGGACGCATGTGAAACATGATTAACCAACGAAAACTGTTATATAAGAATAAAGTGTTGCTGTCGACACTTCAATTTGAACTTAGATCGCCAGTGAGCAAACACAGTTGATCCCATTATTGAATTAAGTAGATAACCTGACGATAGAGGAAACGAATATATGGAAGGTAGAGTGATGTCTAATTGATCTGATTTCTAGTCTATCCTCTATTACTATTCGGATCACCAATTCTACTCTATCCTCTATTACTATACGGAGCGCTATTCTCTACTTTATTCACATATATTATTTCTCTATTCGGATCACTATACGGTGTTTACTATTCGAGCGAATATTATCGATCAAGTACTATTACTGCGACTGTTATTCGAAGGCAGTATTGTTCAACGGCGTTAATATAGGTGTATCTGCGATTACAAAGTCTCTACTACAATGAGCATTACGAAAGTGACAACGAATATTCGTTGACATTACAAAAGTGTCAACGAGTGTTCATGGGCATCACAATAATGTCATTAAAGACGATTGGCGAGCTACTGCGTTGAAGTCACGCTATTCTTTATTCTCTTCTCTTCATTATTCTCTATTCGGATCAATAGGTGATTACTATTCGAGCGAGTGTTATCGAGCAAGTACTATTAGCACGAGTGTTATTCGAAGGCGTCTGACACCAGTATTGTTCAACGGCGTTACTATAGTTGTATCTGCGATTACAAAGTCTCTACTACAACGAGCATTACGAAAGTGACAACGAATATCCGTTGACATCACAAAAGTGGCAACGAGTGTTCGTTGACATCAGAAAAAAAGAAATTTTAAAATTTTGCCGAATTTTATGAGCACAGGATGAACAGTTTCCCAAATAGACGGGACTATATCTTCAGTAAGTAGATTAAGTATTATTGTGCATATATATTTCAATTAAAACCATTAAGCATTTCTTTCTTTTTATTTTCAAACGCGACAGGACATCATTTCTAACCTACAAGCAATTAACAGTAAATCTCTATCTATAAAAGGCAGGATGTGTGTGTGTGTGTGTGTGTAACGAATGCACGGCCGCAATTTTCGACGGATTTGCACCAAAATTTACATGCACATGTTCCAAGTTAGCGGAAGGCCAAGACTGACTTTGCATTTCCCAACTCCCATCGATAATGGAAATAATTGATTTTTTCATGCTTCTACGGTAGTTTTCATGTAGTTTGCGGCCATTTCGTACTGACCAGAGTGAGAGCCTATAGCTGGCGGCCACGAATAGGCAGGAAGATTCTATTGGCCAACGTGAGAGCCAACAGCTGACTGACACGAATGTTCACTAGCATGCAAAAAAAATTCGATAGCTGCATTCGTCACAAGTGGGAAAAATTTAAATCTGCATGGCACTTTACTCCAATTGGCTCATTCGATTGCTTAAACTCAACGTTGATTCTGATTCCGCAGAACTGGGTTGGATGTAAAAAAGTATTTGTTGTTAACATTCTTTTTTCATTCGGTTTTTCCAGTTACGAGTCCTTTTTTAAAGCTGATCGTTTTGTGTTCATTTTGTTTAGTTCTTTTTTTCGTAACAGATTTAATGTTTAGTATAGAGCTTAGAAAAAATTCGCAGTGTGAGATAGGCAAGAAGTAAGGCATGTAGCAACATCAGCACGGCAAAGGGCACTCCTTTAAAGGCAAGGATGGGCAAAAATATTTTAAATCAAGTGATAGCGATTGCTGTATGAGTCGTACGATTTTTGAATCAAGCACGGGCAACGCCGGGCAATGCTGCTAGTTGTGTATAATACGGCTATATTACCTAGAGAACTCCTTCCCGTATCGCCTATAAATTTCCATATCTGAATTCATTGCAGTTTGTCTTATGGAAGAGGCCATTTTGCCGGTCCCGGTAAAATGGACAAATATGCTTTTAAGCTTATTTTACCGGTCACCGGTTTACATTGGCTATTTTACCGGTAAATTTTCTTATTGTTTTCAAGAAAGGTAATGTTAAAAATAACCACACATAGATTTAACACAGAAGTTTATTTATTTTCACCATCAATTTTGAAGACATTTTAAAATCTTTTTCACTATCAATTGTTTGAACACGAATTAAAATCATTTATTCGCCATCAATTATTAAATGAAATATAGAAGTCTCTGAATATTTTAAACACTTTAAGCATAGCTGTCTCTGCAAATACTAAACATGCTCTTGGGCATGGTTCTCTTGCAAATACACTTAAGGTGCGCCCACTGAAAGCAACGGTAACAGCCCACAGAATCCATATTGTTCATATCCTGCCTACACGATCACAACTTTCCAATTATATGGATCAAAATACCAGTAGTTTTTCTGGATTGACCAATTTTCATTTAGATATATTGCTGGTATTATCAGCAACATTTAGTTCAAGGCGATACTGGATGAATATTGTTTATAGATTTATTAGTATATATATATATATATATATATATATATATATATATATATTTATAAATTTATAAATTCAATCATTCATAAAAAAACAAATATAGAGGTTAATGATTTAAATGGCGAGAATACATCTTCGAAAACAATATAAATAAGATACACCAACCCCGAACCTGTATATGAATGATATGATCCCTGTTTCTAAACTGCAGTTGCATAAGGTCTTTTTAATTTTTTTACAAGCTTTCGTCTGTTCCGACAGACATCCTCAGGTATGGAAATAGATTTTGTTCTTGTTTTTACTTCTCGGTAATAAGAGGACAACGAAAATTTAGATGTAATCCGAAAAAATGCTATGAGAAATGTGTTTTATGGTTGTGCGTTTTTGTACAAATATAGTAATAAGAGAATTCTTTTTTACTGGTAGATTTTCTGTCATTTACCTGAGGATGTCTGTAGGAACAGACGAAAGCCTGTAAAAAATTAAAAAGACCTTATGCAAGTGGAATTTATAAACAGGGATCATATCATTCATATACAGGATCGGGGTTGATGTATCTTATTTATATTGTTTGCGACGATGTATTCTCGCCATTTAAATCATTAACCTATATATTTGTTTTTGTATGAATGATTCATGAATTTATAAATTATAATTGCACCTTTAATTGAAATATATATATATATATATATATATATATATATATATATATATATATATATATAATTAATAAAATATCCTTTTATGAATATACATACTTTTAGTTCTAAAACATTTTTTTTTATATATATACCGGCAAATAGCATTGGTGATTCTTATACCGGGACCTACAAAATGACCTATTCGAAAAAAAAAAAAAAAAAAAAAAAAAAAAAACCAAAAAAAAAGAATTTCCTTTTTATTTTTTTTTCAGATCTCATTACTTGATGAAGCTTTTAAAAAAGTGATTGGTAAACACATCCTATTTGTTAATTTTCTGTCGAATTCCGATCTGTACTTGATCCCAATTCATACACTGTCTATCTCAGTGTGTTCATATCAATCAATAAATGAATCAATCCATCTCCCTCTCTCTCTCTCTCTTTCTCTCTCTCTCTCTCTCTCTCTATCTATCTATCTCATTCTGTTCGTAGATAGAGAGGGAAATGAAGGAAGATGAAGGAAAGACAGCATTAAAAGAAAGAAAAACGAAGGAAAAAGAAAGAAAAAGGAAGAAAAAGAAAGGAAAATGAAAGAAAGACAGCATTAAAAGAAAGAAAAAAAGAAAGAGAAATGAAGGAAAATGAAAGAAAGACAACATTAAAAGAAAGATAAAACGAATGAAAAAGAAATTGAAATGAAAGAAAATGAAAGAAAGACAGTATTAAACGAAAGAAAAAAGAAAGAAAAACGTAGGGAAAAGAAAGAAACAGAAAGGAAAATGAAAGAAAGACAGCATTAAAAGAAAGAAAAAAAGAAAGAGAAATAAAGGAAAATGAAAGAAAGACAACATTAAAAGAAAGAAAAAAAGAATGAAAAAGAAATTGAAATGATGGAAAATGAAAGAAAGACAGCATTAAAAGAAAGAAAAAAGAAAGAAAAACGAAGGGAAAAGAAAGAAACAGAAAGGAAAATGAAAGATAGACAACATTAAAAGGAAGAAAAAAGGAAGAAAAACGATGGAAAAGGAAGGGAAATGAAAGAATATGAAAGAAAGACAGCATTAAAAGATAGAAAAAAGAAAAAAAAGGAAGAAAAAGAAAGAAAAAGAAAGAGAAATGAAGGAAAATAAAAGAAAGACAGCATTAAAAGAAAGAACAGTAAAGAAAGACGAAGGAAAAAGAAAGAAAAAGAATGGGAAATAAAAGAATATGAACGATAGACAGCATTAAATAAAGAAAAAAAGAAATAAAAACGAAGGAAAAAGAAAGGAAATGAAGGAATATGAAAGGAAAAAGAAAGAAAATGTAATCAAAGACCAATTGATATCCCATATCGGCCAAAGTTAGTAGACACTTGAAGATGACCAAGAGAATAATCACTTAAAAATTGGTGTCTATGACAACATCTACAACAACCAAAGGCGAGAAAATGAGCCCGTATAATGATTTCTTATGATGTGTAATATATACTTTTTATTTATTGTTCTTTGACTAGCAGCGGCCTATAGTCACCCTGGGAATAGAACAATTTGGCTGAATTGGGAGCCCATGGGGCTGGGGTCACAATAAGGCCATATAGCATCTAAATACTTCCTATAAGAGATGTGTTAATCTAATAAAATGCCTTGTGGGGGACATAAAATAAATTGATTCATCAAGTTTCTTCCCCTTGCTAATTTTCTTGAGATGGTTCGATATTGTTAAAAAGCTGACACTCATTATCTGAGACATTTCTCTAAACACTTTGAGGTGGGTTTTGTTCGATTAGTACTTTCAGATGTTCTTCGTCAATTGCAGATGGACGTACCGTTTAACTTTGATCTTCAAGTCTCGTCTCCCCACTGCTGAAATTCAGAAATCAGCTCCGTACTGACCGGTCGCACGTGTATCTTTTATTCATTAACATATTCAAATAATTTATCGGCTTTCTTCCTCTTACATTTTTTTTGTGATGGCTCGATATTCTTGAAATACTGACAACCATTATCTGATTCATTTCTCTAAAACTTTGATGTGAACGCTTTTGACTAGTGTTTTCAGATATTCCAGTTCTCCTCTCTAGTATTTCCTCTGTTTTAAACTTATTCACCGTTCTCTTGATGGTTCTTGAATGTACTTTGAAGCTGGAAACCAGCGTATAAATGTTGGCACCATTACTGAAGTCGTGAATGATTTTTCCTCTCACCATTGCTCAGTTGAGAAGACAGTGGGCCCGAGACAAAACGAATTTAATCTCTTCTCTTTATAGCTGTATAACTTAAAGGATTTTCCAGTGATTCTTAGGATAAATGGTGTCAAGATGGTTAAATGGACCTATCTTAAAACCTTCAAAAATATTAATTAGTTTACAGGTTTTTTTAGATATTAAACATTTTGTGGGATAGACAATTATGTTTTAAAACGATTTGAATAATTTTGATGTGATACTCGGTATATAACAAACTTCTAACTCGATGACAGAAATGTATAGATGTTCAAACAATGCATAAATAAATTAAATTTGCTTAATTGAATGTGCATGTTGCCCAGTTGCTGGTAGTAATCTTCGGCAGTGATTCTCTAGTTATATTCTAGATGAATAACACGAAAGACGGACTACCAGACAGTTACAATGAACTTCTGTTGGTATAATTTCGGTTTTGGGAAGTGTGTGGGTCCGACGTCTTGACTGAGACAATCGTTTACAATTGTCATAAAGAATTAATTTCTAAATAATTAATTTCTCATCCCCATTAATGAATTCAAGAAATGAATAATTCGAATTTAGCAGATGCAGTATCTGTCTATATTTCTGAGATGAGGTATTATGTACACTATTTCCATCTTTGTCGCCATATTTATTACAACGCTTCGGCCGTTGTACGCTCCGGCCTTCTTCAGGAACTTCGAACTGAACCCTTTATTTCAACTGTTCTAGTTTCACGTGCCATGTTTAATGGATATCAGTTATCTCCTGTTAATTTCCATCTGAAAGTTCTCTACTGCCTTAACCGGGTATTGAACTCACACTCTTTGGGTCTTGTCACTGGATCTAACTAACGCTTTTATCCACTGTGCCATGTGTCCTTAAGGAAATCTGTGCATGAATTTCTGGGTATTATAAACCTAATGTCTTCAGCAACATTTTTTACCATTGCTCATATTGCAATTTTTGTTGTTATTATCGCTTTTCTCTGGCACTCCTTATTACTGGATCCCATAACGTGTTCAAGTCTATGCTTGGTCGGCTCAGGAAATTTTTGTGGTCTAGCATATGTGCTGATTCCTTAAGTTTACGAATTTTCCAATGCTGTTCTTTGTCTATGATCTCATCTTCACCCCGCAGAGGGCGGTGATCTCCCTTTTCTCTACATGTGTGGTCAGCTACGCTTGACTTTTCCACTTCCCCTCGTGTTACATCTTTCTGGTGTGCTTGAAGCCTTACCTTAAGGGGGCAGCCTGTCTCTCCTTTATATTTCTTTTCGGAACTGCACGGGATGCACCATGAAAAACGTCGAACACTTTCACTTTCACTTTCATTTTCATTTTCACTTTCACTTTCATTTTCACTTTTACTTAGAAACTATTTATTATGCTTTTTACTTTTGCCACTTTTCGTGATATGGCCAGATATTGTTGAAATACTGACATCCATTATCTGAGACATTTCTCTAAACACTTTGTGGGGCATGTTCGATTAGTGCTTTCAGATGGTATTCACCATTGCAGATGGATGTATACTTTCACCTTGATCTTCAAGACTCGTCTCCCCACTGCTGAAATTCAGAAACAAGTAAGACAGAATGCAAAACAACTAGGCCGGATGAAATTATTTAAAAACCTGTGAAGACAGCGCGTTGCATGGCAAATACCTAAAAAGAAAGAAAGAAGCAGATGTTGACAACAGAAAACATCAGCAGCTGAGAATTGCAGATGGACGTGCTCTACCACCGTGATCATCAAGACTCGTATCCCCACTGCGGAGCTTCAGAAACCGGAACCATATTCTCCAATCACAAGGGAATCCTTCACCTCATGCTCTATTAATGTTGGCAGCAGTTTGAGAAACATTATGACCAAATTGGGACTAAAAAAAAAAAAAAACAAACAAGCAAACACATCTTTTCTATTTTCATGTTCAAGATGCGATGCAAATGTTTTAAGTGGAATCTGAAAGAGACTGTTATAAAATTAATAAAGAGGACCCTTTAATCATTAGGGATTAGCTATATATATTTTTTGTGCAGCTATTATAATCATATATTAGAACAAAATTAAAATATCTATTCTAAAATCGGACATCATTTTTCAGAAAAGAAACAGATCCAAAATTAACAAAAGAGGATAATATTTAGCTATATTTTTTTTTGACCTTATAACTAGTTTTCAGCGTATAAACCCAGGGTGCTGAACAAGGTATTTGAGAACAGGGGAACAGGATGAAAGAGAATTGATAATAAAATCAACAAAGAGGACACTTTAGTCATAAGGAATTAATTATATATTTTGTGCGCAGCTATTATAATAATGTATTTAAACACAATTAAAAGGTTTATTTTAAAATCGGGCATCATTTTTCGAACAACCTAATACTATTTTTGAGCGTATACCGAAGGTGCGTCAGGTATTTGAGAACAGAATTCAGGAAGAGAATTGATATAGAATTAACAAAGAGGGTAATTTAATCATTAGGAATCGGTTAGAAATTATTTGTGCAACTTCTGTAACGATAATGAAATGGTTTATTCTGAATTGGGACTTTATTTTCCAACAAGCCAATACTATTGTTTGCGTACACTCAGTGTGCGTCAGGTATTCGAGAACAGAATTCTGAAACAGATTGATATAGAATTAAAATAGAGAATACTTTATTCATGAGGAATTAGTTATATATTTTATTTATGCAACTATTATAATCATACATTAGAAAAAAATTAGGTTTATTATAAAATCGGACATCATTTTCCGAACATCCTAATACTAGTTTTTAGCGTATACCCAGTCTGCGTCAGATATTTGAGAGCATGATTTTAAACGAGATTGATATAAAATTAACAAAGACGACAATTTATTCACTGGAGATGAGTAATATAATTTTGTGTAACTCTTGTAATGATATATTAGAATACAAACTAAAAGGTTTAGTCTAAAATGGGATATCATTTTCCGAACATTCTAAATCTAGTTTTTAGCGTATACCCAGTCTGCGTCAGATATTTGAGAACATGATTTTGAACGAGATTGATATAAAATTAACAAAGAGGACAATTTAATGTAACTCTTGTAATCATATATTAGAATACGATCAAAAGGTTTAGTCTAAAATCGGACGTCATTTTCCGGATTAGCTAATAGAATGTCAAAATAAAAATATTTTTTTTTCTTGACGATAATTTTTTTCTCTCTGCATAAAAACAAGTTTTTCGGCCAGATTGCATGCCTAGACACGTCTGAAAAAAAAAATTAAATTTAAAAATTTGAAATTTCAGCGTTACAACGAAAGTTGGTTATCTGTGTCGTGCCAGAAGGTTTTTCTCGCCTGAGTCTATTCAAGTTTTTTCTCCCGCACTTCTCGCTTGTGGAAGTCTCTCCCAGCTTCTTTGATCAACTTTGATCTCCAAAAATTTAAATGAAATATCAAACGATATCTTATTGTCTTCTTAATAAAAGTTTTTCTTTTAGACGGTATCATCCCATGCAAAGAAGAGGTTAGAGAGTGTGAAAGAATTAGGAACAGAAACATTAATAATGAGCGATGAAGAAGAAAAAAAAGTAATCAGGAGGACAGTAGATAGCGATTGATATTGCATTTATATTTTTGCAGATTAAAGTTGGCTGGAAAGCATAGAACCAGAAGGGAGTCCCACATGCAAGAAGTGCAAAAAAAGAAACTTCTAGCATAGAACTTACGGTTACACCTAGCCATTTCAACGGTAAATTGATGAGATCTTGACACCAATCGAGTATATTGCGCTTAAATTCAAAAGGTGTGGCTGCCACAGTGAAGAACTCATCCGAATAATTACCATTAAATTTTATTTTTCCTTCCTAATAATGTTCTTTGTCGCATTCACTCACACTCA